CTGTCAACAATGACCCAGATGGCGTCATTCTTTCGTGAAGATCGTGGCAATCCGATCACAAAGTCCATAGTGATCCTTTCCCACTTCCATTCCGGAATGGTAGGAGGGTGCAGCAACCCTGTCGGAACCTGGTGCTCAGCCTTGACTTGCTGACAAGTCAAACAGCGCGCAGTGAACTCGGAGATTTCCTTTTTCATAGCTGGCCACCAATAGGATTTCTTCAAATCCTGATACATCTTGTTACTACCCGGGTGCATAGTGTATACGGTTCCGTGAGCCTCGCGCAACAAGCGATCCCTCACTCCACCGCGGGGCACCACTAGGCGTTCACGATAGTACAAGACTCCGTCATCGCGAATTGCAAACTCGGGCCTCTTTCCTGTAGGAACTAACTCTCGAGTCTTCTGACAAAACTCATCATCTCTCTGTGCTGTACGGATCTCCTGCTCTAACGGAGACTGAAGCTGTAGCTCGGCTAACGATTTTCTGCTCAAAGCATCGGCCACGATGTTAGCCTTGCCCGGGTGATACTCAATGACTAAATCGTAATCCTTGATTAGCTCCAACCATCGACGTTGTCTAAGATTCAGTTCCTTCTGGGTGAGTAGGTACCTCAAACTCTTGTGATCGGTGAAGATGTGAATCCTCTCTCCAAAGATGTAGTGGCGCCAAATCTTCAAGGCGAACACCACGGCTGCCAACTCTAAATCATGTGTCGAGTAGTTCTCCTCGTGAGTCTTCAACTGTCTCGATGCGTAGGCCACTACCTTACTCAACTGCATCAGTACACAACCTAAGCCGCTATGAGATGCGTCACTATAGATGGTATACTCGATGCCAGGAGTAGGTTGAATCAAGACTGGTGCCTGGGTCAGGCACTCCCTTAGTTGATCAAAACTGCGCTGGCACGCTTCTGTCCACTCAAATTTGATGTCCTTCCGCAGTAGCTTGTTCAATGGAGTAGCGATCGAGGCGAAGCCCTTAACAAATCGACGATAGTAACCGGCGAACCCAAGGAAGCTCCTCACCTCACGAACATTCCGCAGAGTCTTCCAGTCCACTATGGCTGAAATCTTGCTGGGGTCTACCTGGATACCGGTGGCAGAGATAACATGTCCTAAGAATGTCACCTCACTCAACCAGAATTCACACTTGGACAATTTTGCATACAGCTTGTGCTCTCTCAACACACTCAAAACCAATTGCAAATGTCTAGCATGCTTCTCCTGAGTCCGTGAATAAACCAAGATGTCATCGATGAACACTACTACGAACTGGTCCAAGTATGGTCGGAACACACTGTTCATAAGCTCCATGAACACTGCCGGGGCATTAGTCAGTCCAAAAGGCATGACTGAGAACTCGTAATGCCCATAGCGTGTCCTAAAAGCAATCTTCGGAATGTCTTCTCTCTTAACGGGAATCTGATGGTATCCAGAACGCAGATCAATCTTCGAGAATACTGTAGCCCCTCTGAGCTTGTCGAACAGGTCGTCGATGCGAGGCAACGGGTAACGATTCTTCATTGTGGCTTTGTTCAACTGCCTGTAGTCGATGCAAAGTCTCATGGATCCATCCTTCTTTCGAACAAATAACACCGGTGCTCCCCATGGGGAAACGCTAGGTCGGATGAATCTCTTTTCCAGTAGTTCTTGCAACTGAGCCTTCAACTCCTTCATCTCGGCAGGTGCTATACGATACAGTGTAGCAGATATGGGTTCCGTACCCGGAATGAGATTGATCGAGAACTCTACCTCTCTCGGTGGAGGCAAACCAGGAAGGTCTTCGGGAAAGACATCGGGGAAGTCGCAAACCGTACGAATGTCCTGCTGACGTGGTGATTCTTTTCACATATCCTGAACGTGACACAGGAACATCTCGCACTTCTTGCGAATCAAGCGCCTCGCGCTCAAGGACGATATGAACTCGGGAGCCTTGGGGAACACCTCCCCGGAGAGTGATACGTCGCTACCGTCCTCGGCTCTCAGCCGTATGGTCCGACAACTACAGTCGACCACTGCTCTATGCTCGGTGAGCCAATCCATACCAAGGATAATGTCAAACTCCTTGTGTGGTAGCTCTATCAAATCTGCAGGGAATTGCTTCCCTTGCACGGACAACGGACACCTATGATAAATGTGATGAAGACGCATGCTATGTCCTAGCGGATTCGATACAACGGTAGGTATCTCAAGGTCACTCCTCAC